GGTTCCAATCACATTTCAATAAAACTTGGTACATAGATGGTCTGTTACATTGCGCAGACCTCATTAGTTTTCCATTAAAATCTGTTCATATTAATTTTCTGATTTGCATTATTAGTTTTTGGCTTTTCCATCATTATCACTATCTCTGACAAGTAATTTTGAATTATATTTAATGTGTCTTCAATACTCTCAGCACATGGGAGTTCTTTCTAAGCTTTCTTTGATTTCCAATTTAAGTTGCTTTTTAATCACGTATTTTAGTGAAATATTATTCAGTGAGCGAAATAGTAATGTCATTAATAATCCAATCTTTGAAACAACAGAAACTAACACATAATAATGATAATCAAATTTGTTTTTGAAGTTCGAAAATATTTGCGTAATTTCCGAATATCCTTTAACGCAATAAAATTACGCATGGAACGCCTTCCGAACCAGACACTAGTAGCGTAAACTTATTGCAAATTTGCGCAATTTGGGCCAAGTTTAATTGTTTTCCGAGTTTCATTTATCATTATTTAGTAAACAGCCCCATGGCATGATTTAATATTTCTGTAAAATACATGTATGTGCCAACCGACGACTGACTTCGAAAAGTTCGAAATTTCAAACAAACTCCCGGCACACCTTGCGCGATATGCGTCAGATCGGTGTAGAAGAAGCCGACCTGCAGCGTCAATGCAGGTCATCGACTTCATGGTGAACGAAACCCGGAAGCGATTTACCGATAATGTAGTGCGATCTTTTGGCTTTGATTTCCATGGGAAAACGACATGACTTTTTTTTTTTAAATCAAGAAATTAGTTGTTTTCGAAAGATAAACTGAGCATCGAAAAAGAATTTAACAGTTTTTCGGTGAGAACAGCTCATTGTCGAAAACTTGCGATACACGGACGTATTGATAAGGAGTATTGACAAAAGTTGTCATAAGACAAAAGCCATTTCTCTGCGTGTTTGACATTCTAACACTACTGAACAATAAAAAGGTGTGAATATTTTTATGCACGTTGTCGAAACAAATGAATAGGATTAGGAACAAAATACCAGCTGGTTGAATAAAGTCAGTCACGGTCTTGTTGAATTGGGGGTGCGGTTAGTAATAGGTACTTTTCATGTTTTAAATTTTTGTTGAGAACTCTTTAACACTGAAGCCGAAATCGGGGGTGCGGTTACTATTAGGTATGCGGTTTATAATAGGATTTTAACGGTAGTGCTGTATTAATCCGCTCTGCTAGGATTGCCTTTAAATTCACTTTTGGCGTGTGTGTCTGTGCGAGTTCCAGTGTTTTCAAATTGAGAAATAAATTCTTCTGTGATTTGTTTGGCTTTGCTGATTTCGCTCAAACTTGGCAGGCAGGTCACATCTTCACTCTAGTTTGTAGGTAAAATCCTGGCCACAAAACTAATTTGTTAATACCATTGCGCTAAATGTATCTCACCCTACGATTCTAGGATTAATAGGCTCGTACATAGCTCATTCTACTCTTTTTTCATTCCGCAAAATTTGACCCCAAAGTTAGGGTAACTGTTCACCAGGATTGGCTTTTTATCTGATTTTTAAATACTTTTGCCCAAATGTATTACCTCCTACCAGTTTTGTAATAGCGGCCATTTTGTTTTAAAGAATTCAGTTCTGTATCCGTATCCGAGACATGTCTGGATTGATCAAGTTCAAACTTCACACACACAAGGTACATCATGTCACAAAAATGTATGTGCATTTGTTTCATGATCTCATTAACGATAGCCAAATGGAGCATTGAAATCGCACATTTTCACCATTCCAGACCCGGATCTCAGTTATGCATGGACGGATTTTGTTCAAATTTGGTACATACATTAAACATAATAGGACCTTGATGCACGTTATTTTTTTTTTTCGGATCAAGTTCGAAATGGCCGACTGGCGGCCATTTTGTTTTAAAGAATTCAGTTCTGTATCCGTATCCGAGACATGTCTGGATTGATCAAGTTCAAACTTCACACACACATGGTACATCATGTCACAAATAGATATGTGCATTTGTTTCATGATCTGTTTAACAATAGCTGAATGATTGCCATTTTAAGGCCGAAAATGCATCAAAATCACGTATTTTCACAATTCCGGAACCGGATCTCAGTCATGCATGGATGGATTTTGTTCAGATTTAGTACAATGTGTTGTACATATGCAGGTGCATTTCGGTCATGATCTGCTTTGAATGTATATGTCACTCAAATATGAACGGAACGGGGACGTGTCATTGACAATGAGTGAATGACTTGTTTTATTTTATTTTGCTTAAATATATTACTGCACTATTATTTGGGAACTTTTTATATGCTACTGTAAAATACTTTATTTTAGCTGAAATGTGTTTTTTGGTGTTTTGTATGGAATTTATTTTCACTGATTTCTGATGAGTTGAATGTGAAATATAGGGAAAAATGTATTTTCACTGAATCATTCCTTCAGCGAAGATAGCGAAAATAAATTCCAAGCAAAATGTATTTCACAGTATATTATTTTATAAGGTGTATGTAGATTAATACAGTACATGTATTATTTGAGGAACATGTGTCTGGTCAGTTTTATTCAAGCAACATGTTTTGAAAAGTAGTGTCCTGAATTTCAATTTCTGTTTTAGTCGCATTGCCCCCAACTCAAACCACAACACATTGGTAAATAATCCATGAAATAGTTTGTCCGGACACATTCAAGTTCCTCTCATTGTAACCTTAGAGCTGTGAAAATTTGGTGTTAATCCGACGACAATAAGTATCTGTTATTTTTTGTTAAAGACCTTGTATTTTGAAAAACATAAACTTCTAGAAATCGCTGATGAAGTCACAGCAAAGATTTTCAAGCTTGTTTATCTGCACAAGCGATTTGTTTTCCCATCAAGGTCTGTTTTAACATGTGCAGGGGCATCCAAATGTGTAAGGCTATTGGAAACCAAAAAATAAAGGAATGGGATAGCTATAATTCGATAAAATCGGCAGATGAAAACACCAAAATCAATGATTTTTTTTCAGTGGCTGTGTGACCTTGTATCTGACACATTCATATGCAAATGATTAATCTGTGAAATAAACAGAGAGGGAACCACTCAAATGTTTGGAAACACTCATTGTGTGTCAGATAGCTACTGATAACACATCCTAACATTGCTTTGTCTTGAGTCAATCTTTGAAACTTATAGGCACACAGATTATATCTGTGTTGTTGATTTTGGAAAACACTACTGAGGCTGCCTTGCTTCCCTTCAGAAAATCTACATTTTAACCAACTTGCATGACATTCTAGGTTACGTTGACTTTATCAGATGAAAGTTTATAGTGCATTTCATCAATTAATAAATAAATGTGAAAATCGTAATTTTCAACACAAATAATAGTCTTGCTACCTTAATTACTTTTGTCATGTAATTATGTTGACTTTCTAACCTGTATTTATAACATATTATTGCATTGTTTCAGGACTTTTATACTCGCTTTTGATATGTAAAGAATAGATATTGCATCTGTTGAGCTTTGTATTATAATAATAAGTGAATTTTTCAAAATTTTGAAAACCAATAAATGAATAAACCCTAGTTCACACATTATACTGTGATAAATGTGAATACTGGCACAGCATAACTTATCAAACATATTAAATAGCATAAAAATTTAACAACTAAAACTGTTTCTTGATAATAATAATAACTTTATTACCGGTACACTACTATGCAATCAGAGGACGCAGTATGGTAAATAAAATAAAATACAAAACATAAGAAATACAGCAGCTAAATAAACTAAACTATGATAAGATAAAATTAAAATTAAGAGATCTGGAGGTTATAATCTAGTACATTGCACACAAGAATATGCATTTTCTTTTGCCTCAGATAGGAGTTGCATATTCCTGTATTCTATTATCTATGCTAAAACCAGACATTTTTATTTGTCTAAAATAAAGTAGATATAACTTCACCTTGTGTATAAAAAACTCTAGACTTCATTCAAACTTTATAATTAAGCAATACACAAACGTTTATTTTTCTGACATGGCTGTCATTTTCAAACTTGATAACAGAGACATTGATAAATTTTGTAATACAATTGTTTTGATTGCAGTATTCTATTTGATTTCAGGTGAAAAGTTCAATGGGGATTTGACAAAGAAAAAGATAGCATCAGATATATTCGAAACTCGCAGCTACAGAGCGACTCATCCTTTGACACCTTAACCAGACATGGAACACTTTGACAACAAAATATATTTATTGCAGCATTGAAGACTTTATAACCAAATCACATAGTTGTACATGCAATGACACTAGAGAATAAAGGGAAATGCAATCATCGCAAACACCAAATAAAATAGAATGATGTCACTCAACTGTTGACTCCAAGCCATCTGTGTAACCATTTAAGGTAGCGAGAGGGGAAACATAATTTATAGTTTAATGGAGTTTAATTCTTTCTTCATCAGTTACTAAGCATGCAGTTATGGCAATGTATATGTTTTCAGAAAGCTGAGATATAGCAGAATACGATCATATATGTTTCGTCTTGATATTTGCTCAGGGGATTAAGTTACGATCATTCCTGTTAACCTCCTAAACATAGAGTTTTTTTGCGGGATTGGCCGTTTCGCGGTGTTCCTTTTTTCTATGTTTCTGATCTTTTCACTGTTGCTTTATAAGATAATGATCATTGAGAATGCGTCTCAAAATTTTTATGTACCCCATAGTTCTGGAGATAAAGCCTGTTGAACTTTATGGACTAAATTTTACGAACGTCTTCCTGTTCCTAAGGCCGTAACGCAACGTCAACGGCTCACATAAACATCCATGAGACATCATATTTTAGCCAATTTTGTGGCGAATAAATTGTGTAATTTATACGTCGTTAGCGTAGAGAAAAGTGTTGAAAAATGACATCTTCAATAGTTATAATAGTCAAAAATTAGTTTCCGTAAAAACTCAATAAAACGTTTTTTCGAATTTGGCCACAGATAAACAGCTAATTAATAATAATAATAATAATAACTTTATTACACTACTATGCCATCAGAGGGCGCAGTATGGTAAATAAAATACAAATCATAAGAAAAAATACAGTAGCTAGACTATAATGACAAAATATCGACCATTTCGATCATACTTTGTAAATATACAAGTATCTGTTGTGCGTGGAATGTTAGATCGTGAAAAATTGGTTGGTTGTTTCCTAAAACGTGACAAAACTTAGCAGTTTCGTCGAAAGTGGGTGCTAACTTGAGCAAGATGGCATACCGCGCAATTAATTTATTCAAGTCCCTTTGTTATGTTGAACAGCGTCAACAGTACAATCGGTTCTCTAAACATAGGGTGGGCCTTCATGACAGCATATATTTACTTACGGGATATACATGCCTTCAAGTACAGATATGTTTGAATTACTCTCAGCCTATGGTGTCACCACTCTCGTCTATCTCCGCCAATTTTGTTTTGAGTTTTCTTATTTCATAGGCGGCATCTTGAAATTCTTGTTCTAATAGTCTTTTAGCAATGTCTAAAACTTTCCGAGTGTTTTCTCTGAATGTGGTTCCAGATATAATAGAGGCGGTAATCCAATATAGCTACTAAATTTACGCATTGCGCGACGACCCTTTCCAATGCCACGAGCTGCGATCACCGGCTTACGATTCACATCAAAAGAATGTCCACTCTTTTTTGACGCAGGAAAATGTCAGTCACGGAGTTACATTTTTGATTCCACTCTGTGGGCTGACTGTAATATGAGCCCAGGTCATTTTCATTTAGATATCTTTTAACGGTGTCGGACATTTGTTTTTTTTTTTCATCTTAGAACTCCTTCCCATGATACATTAGGTTATTAAAACACCGAGAAAAGCTTGAATACGATAGCGTAATGTTTATCTGTGCTTCGATCGCGTAACGGACACTACTTATAGATTACACAGGATACAAAATGTATAATAAAGCTGGATGGTCAACAAATCAGTATGCAAATTAAATCCTTTGTTTTCAGTCCGTCACTCAACATGATATGTAAATGCAGGAAGGACATGTTCACCTTCAACTAAGTTTCCGGGAATAAATTGAAATTACTCAACAAATGCATCGCGCACTGTAAATTCGGACCAAAGATAAAGAAAGTACACTATATAAGGTTGCATAATCCGGGATTTTTAGAAAAAAGTTTTTTTTCCTAGTTTTTCCCCTCTCACCTTAATTAGGTGTTAATTAGCTGGTTTATAATAATAATAATAATGTTTATTCAACCTTTGTATCGGCAGCATGAAAACAGTAATACATATATTTAAATTACATTCATCATTTCTTTTCTATATTGCCATAAATTAGTTACATATTTCCTAATTAAAGCTGATGAGGTATTTCCCACATTTTCATTTATGTTCCATAGTGTATCACCAAAAAGGAAATTGAACCTATAATTCAACCCCCCTGAAAGAAAACTATTCATTAGTGATGAAGATTCAACATTGTTTCTAGTGAGGTTTCTAATGCTAAATAAAATTCCTTTCTAATATGATTAGATGACGTACAAAGATAAAGAAAGTGGTAAATGTCTTCTTTGCCCTGATTGCAGACTCCACAAATTCCATTACCCCTGTAATTTT